TTTTATTTCCACTTTTTATTTCCGCGTTTTATTTCCACTTTTTATTTCCGCGTTTTATTTCCGCTTTTTATTACTCTCTTTTTGCTGCTTCCTTTTATATTACCGTGTGTTGAATAGCGATTAGAAGTGTTCGCCTCTTTTTTATAAATCCTATGGACCACGACCGCGTCATGAATTAGACCAAGTATGCAGTACTAAAAAGTGCTCCCCAGGAGAACTAATTATTGTTGGAAAAAATATATAAAAACACATGGAAGAAACTGCACCTCAGAATAGCAAGTTCACTCCACTCAACATAGCCGCTCCTATCATAAATGAGGGAATAAATGTTGGCAAAAGACTAATAGGAAAGCTTAACATCCCAGCAGTCGCCGATATCGTTTTAGTATTCACGTTTTTGACGCTGTATAAGCTATGTAATGACATTGAAAAAATCCAGGTATGCTACACCACCAGTGCCTGCATACTACTATGTGCACATTTTAACTGCATCCATCTCCTCTCCTTTAAGATCACAAACGAAACCTAACTTATACTAACATTAAACGCATTCCTGTTTTCTTATTCTTCCATTACGTCCCCCCAACGCAGATCCTGAAGCCGCGAGAAAACCACGAAACAATCTACAACCCCCTCAAAATTGTACATGGAGAACTCAGCATTGAAGAGAAAATTCAAAAGCACCTAAGGGAAGTGGAAAATCATAACAGAAAAGTACAACAATTACAGAATTGGTTTAAAGATGTAGAAAAGAGGGTAAAGGCAGAAAGGAGAAAGATATATTTAGCAACAGGACGAGCCAAAAGCGATGTGTGGATACAAAGAGCAAAAGAAACATCTCAGCATGTAATAAAACCGGAACAAGAAATAGAATTAAAAGATAATGAAGACAGAGAAATAGTGGAAAATGGAGTTAGAAACATGCAAAAGGGGTTAAGCATAATAGAAGATTTGATGCAAAAACTTGTTGACGTCGCAGGGAAAATTCCGAAGGACAATTTAGGATCATATAGACAAGAAATAGAAATCCCTGAGGATAAAATGTCAGAATTTAACAAAGCTCTAGAATTATTTGAAGAAGGCTTAAAAATAATTCAAGCTCGCGTAGAGAACACTGCAGGGGAAAATGAAATAGAAGAAATAAAAATAGAATTAGAAGAGTATAATGATGAAGAGGAATATGGGGATTACTCATCTCCCTATTTATATTCCCAAGATTCAGTTGAACAGAAACGACGTTTAGCATCAAAGCGGGAATTATACAAAGGGAAAATGGAGCAAGTACAACAGTGGATAAGCGAAGTAGATGGTACGATAAAAGATGAAACAAAGAAAATAAAGGAAGGTGTAGAAGCCGAAGTTAAACCGCCCGAATCATATGCACAAGACGCAGAAAAGACAAATGGACCAGATCAAGAAAACACAGTGACAAAAGACACACATGATAATGAATACGAACAAGGACAAAGCCTGGAAGAAGAACCAGATGGTGAATTGACAAAAGAGTGGAAAGATGAGGCATGGAAAAAATGGATGAACAATACAGAAAAAGAGTGGGAAAATTTTACACAATCCTTTGAACATCATAAGCAACAGTGGATTCAAAAAAAGGAAAGTGAATGGGAAGAATGGCTCGCAAATATTCACTACAATTGGGTTGGATTTATCAATAAATTGGAAGGAGATTATATAAACGATAAACAAAACGCTTGGACCAAATGGGATGAAAAGGAATGGAGCAGAATAATCGAAATGGAGTGGACTGGACCTATGAAAGTAAAGTGGACAAACTTGGTAGAGAAAAATGAACAAAGTTGGGGAGACTACCTTTTTCATTTTTGGAATAATTGGAAAGATAAAAAATGGAATGAATGGAATAATAAAAATTGGAAAAAAAAAGAAGAAGAAAAGTGGAATAATTTAGAAAAACGTGAACATTTAAATAAAGGTGAGAATATGAATGAATGGGAAAAAAGAGTGCTAAGAGAAAAACAGGAATGGGAAAATTGGGTCAACGAAAAAGAACATGTCCTAATAGATGCGGAAGAGGCACACTGGAAGAAGTGGAAAGAATACAAGTGGAATTACCTGAATGAATGGATGAAGCAAGTCAAAGTGGACTGGTTAAAGGCCAAACCATGGGAAGTCTGGAAGCAGACAAGGAGCGATTTCTATGAATCAAACGCAAAAGTGGAAGATGATGTGCAACACAGTGAAGAGAAGCATTCACTGAGCTCTTAAAATGAAATGTCACCCTAGCTGTTAAGAAAAAAAAAAAAAGAAAGCATAATTTAAAATTTTTCATAACATCGAACGTCACTTGTCACTATTAGAACCGTGTCCAAATAATAGAACGGAGATATACACCCCATAACGCAAATAGGCGAATTTTTTATGAAAATGTGTCACCATAGCGTCATTCCCAGCGAGTCCAATTTGTCTGACTTTCGAAAAATTGTTCAATTTGTTCTTCAAAAAAAAAAAATGTGAAATGTGTGTTAACATATTTTCAAATGAATGTCACGTGGGAATTTTTAAGTGCTTTGTTTTTTTTTTTTTTTTTTTCCGTCCAAATTGTTTTACGTTTAGATGATAACTGTCAGTGTTATAAAAGGCGGATTTTGTCAAGTGGCCTTTTTACGACTGTTTATTCTTTATACAATTCGTGTGTGTTCAATGTGTTTCGCTCAATTTGATTAACTCATAAAGCTGTAGCAGTATATTTCTCGTGTAGAATGACAATCACCCACGTCTCCTCACAACTGTCAGTTTGTGTTCTTATTTTAAAGTCTTTATTTTTGTTTATTTTTCATCCCCATAATTTTGACCACACTTGGGTAAGCTCGTTCGTCGCCCCTTCAATATGCACCATGAAGAATATATATATACATACATGGGAGAGGAAACGACTTACTCCGTCCTTTGTAAGGACAGATAACGAAAAAGGATTACACAGTGCATTTAACCTGTCAAGGACTTTTCTAGTAGATATGAAACATACCATTAAATGCTCCCTTATTTTTCTGAGCAAAGAATTCTCTCGCAACCAGTTTTCCCTTCTATTAAATGCGCATAAAAACACCAACAAGCAGGCTTATGACAAGAACGATCATGTAGCACTAATAATGTACAGGGAAGAATTACCATGGTTCATAATACTTAATGTATACTTTATTTCTTAAAATGAGACGATAATCATTACGGCGAATGGATGAAGACTGTGCACTCCTTTCACTTTAGTGTTCTCATAAATTTGCGTACACATATGAGTTCACAAGGTCTTCACTTTTGTTCCTTACTTCTTCCGTCTTTTTGTATGTATTCGATTTGTTTAAAAGAAGAAATTCGTATTTAGAAAAAGGGATACTCCCTTTAAAAATTAAGAAAAGGAATGTTTATTTTTTTACCGTCTATATAAACTATGCAGTTAAATATCTCCACACATGAATAGTATATGTTCAAGGTATGACGATTTTTGCGACTCTACACCTTTACATTGCTTTTTTAAAAACTGATAGTGGATAGACAAAAAAACTTTGTTCCAGTGATTACCATTAAAATTGTGGAGATGCGCATTGCGCGAATATTCAAATGGAGAGCAACACCTCCAAAATGCGTCACATGTGACCAATTCATTACCTAAGCATATTCTATGTTTTACCCCTCTTAGTATCACGTAAAATTAGCATATGAATACTTTGAAAAGGATGGGAAGCGTTTACATAAGACATTCTTCTACAATACACATAAAAGCTATTTTCCAAAGGGTGGCAACAAAAAAAAAAATTAAAATAAACACCCACTGGACCTATCTTCACTCTGACATGTTCATTCGTTACATGCACCTTTAACCGCGGATCATCATAATTTCAAAACAAAACGGGTAAAAAAAAATTCTGTTAAAAGGGGAATATAATACTGATAATCGTGAATGAGGAGTGTTCAGTAAAATAAAAGAGAATAACCAAACGAACGGGTTGAGCCGGGGTGGTTGCAAAAAGGGACACAAACCCAACTGTGCAGCTGGTTAGTTGCACAGCTGCGCAATTAATAAAAAATCAAACTAAAAAAAAAAAAAAAAAAAAATTCGAAGCGATGCAGAGCAATTTGAAACACTCGAATCAATTCAAACATACGAATAATTCATTCATCACAAAACACTAGGACAGTAATACACCGCAAAAGGATACCTTTGGGGTGCATTCCTAATAAGTCTAGCAAAACAACCATGCCGCATTGACTCCTCATTATGCGAAGCGCTGTGTGCTGCGAAATACCAAATTACGAGGTAATCTGCTTTATGTTGTTAATAAATATTTCCTTATGGTGCGCCGCTATAACTTTCAAAATTTCATTGATATTATCATCGTTCACCTCGACATGAAATGGGACAGACAAATATAAGTGATAGAGATTTGTTTTGATGCAGTAGAATTTTTCATACTCCGCTTCCAGGTATATTTGAGCAGGTAATTTGGAATTTCTTAATATGTCGTCGCACTTTTGGTACACTCTGAAAACTCTTTTCACCTTGTCCAGATTAATTCTGGAGCTATAATACTGCTTTAGGTATGGAATGTAGTAGCACACGTGAATGATATCAATGCCCGGGATTTCTGGCAGCGGGAATGGGGAGTTGTCTGACGCTTTCACGATTTCGTCGTAGCAACGCGAGCTGATTAGCATCTGCAGAGAGTGAAATAGGACGCGAAAAGCATTGATGTAGGAGGGGTGTTATATTCATATGTATATATTCATGCACGCATGCTCAAATGTGCGTTATGCACAACCGAGTAAACTTAAATAAAACCGCACGCATATCACATAACGCGCGTATTATATACACTACCGAGCGTTGATCATTTGCGTTTTTTGTTCCCTTTAACACGTTATGTATGCAACGTTTATCGTTTGTGTTGCATTTTTCAGTTACCGTTTCAATCATAGAGGTGTGTCTGGATAGGTGGAAAAAGTCTCGGGACGACGCATGCGAGCAAATGTACACGCAGCAGATCTTTTTCCTGATGTAGTTAATGTAGGCATACAGGAAAAGGCTGAAAGGGGGGGGGAATCCGAATTGAATGAATTCAGCGTGGGAAATATTATTTCCATATTTTCGCGATCTTGTGCAATGAGCTTTATTTTTATTTTATTTTTTTATCCACCACTTCACCGCAGAGATATTTGCCTCCACGCACAAACGCCACATCTAGCGTTTTTCAATTTTTTTTTTTTCTCTCTCTTTAATACTTTGGATTATAAATAGGCAAACAAATGGGTGTCCACGATTCGGCATTCTTAAAGGACTTCATGGACGTTATCATATTGATAAGGATTATCACGTCCATCGAGTTGATAGCATACTTCGACACAGATATACCTATAATTTTATCATCCACAACTAAAAAAGACAATAGCACGTTGTTAATTTTGAAGGAAGAAATCAAATTTTGAATTTTGTTCCGATAATCCTGTTTTAATGGCAAGGGCTCAAAACCATCAAAAATGGAATACATATTTCTAGAGCATGAAGATATTAAATTGCACATAAGGACATCAGCGCCGTCCAACAAATATCTTATGTCAAATGATGGTTTTATTTGAAAAGATTTTTCAATGCTTTTGGTTAATAAAGATATAATTTGAAAATACATATAATTTAAAATCTGCAAAATGTAATTTGTACTTTCATTAGCCTTAGAAATGCACACTAAACATAAAACATCCTTGTCCAAATAAACCACCTTGGTGTTTTTACTAATAATACATTTTAAAGAATTCTTTGTGCAAATTCCTTTGCACTTTTTATTTGTCGTTGTATTTGTACTAAAATCTGAAAAGGAAAATGACTCAATTTTTGATATAATTGCTAACAGGGTCCCATAAAAACTTGTCAAATTTTCTTCATTACCATATCTTGTAAAGACTGGTTTCCCTGAATAGGTGAAAATAAAAAAGTGCCTTTTGTGTTTATACCACAACGGGGTGCTTTGATCTTCATGAATTTTTTTTTTCTTAAATAAAAATTTCGAATTATTTGCACTCTCTTGAGATTCTTTATTTTCAAAATATTGTAGACTGTCCATCTTGTTCAACTTTTCACTTTCCACTCCGTCTTTTTCTTCATTTTCATTTTTTGCATCACACAAATTGGGCCTTTCTTCCTTCACTTCATCTTCATTCGTGCTTGTGATGTCATCCTTTTGGGGACTACCTAACGCGTCCTCATGCGAAATTTCATTTTTTGATGTCTCCCCTTCGGCGGAGTTGGTGCCTGGTTCTTCGCGCTTTATTCTTTCTTCTGTCACCGTTACGTTTTTTCCTTTCCTCCCAGGGTCACCTCCACCCTCCCCAGTATCGCCAATATTACCTCCCATCGTGCTGTCAATATCTTCCCCCACAGAGTTACTCCCACCTGACTCGCTCTTTTTCTCGTCCTCTACCAAATTCGACCTCGCAGCACTGTGGGATGAGTTGCTCAAAAAGGACAAATCATCATTCGGTCCATTTCCAAAATAATTGGGGTCCGTGGCGTCCGTATTTAACGTCAGCTTCTTAGTCCCCAACGTAAAATGTCGCGCGCAACTTTTATTCATAACGCCGTTGTTGTGAGAGGAGCTGTCTGACCCTTCTTTTTTATGTTCATCAAATCGTTCCATTCCGCCCTCTTCGCCATGTAGCGAGGGGGAAATATCCTGGTTGCTGTAAAAATTTTCGTATTCTTCTTCCCTTAAAGAATTGTTATCGCCTTTTTTGAGCTCATGCTTATCGTCCCCTTCTGGCAACCATATCTCACCTTTTATCGAAGCAGAATTGTCTACTCCTAAGCGGTCTGCCTTCATTGAATGCGCTGATTTGTTGTTCATTCTGTCCACTTCATTTTCTTCATCCTCAAAAAACTTTTCCAACTCGTGATCCGTGTAGGAATTGTACATTTCTGCGCTAGCGAAGAATCCCCCTGCATTAATATTCCCTTTTAGCATCTCCTCCAAATGCTCCCCCTCACTGTTACATTCTCTCTCTATATATCGTTTTGCCCCATTTACGCCTTTCGCATCGTACAAGCTTACACCTTCACTAGTGGCAGCGTCAGGAGAGCCACCTACGGGGCGGCCATATGTAATATCACCATGGTGATCACTATCACGATCGTCCCCAATTTTCCTTGCACCAAAAACCGACTCAGAAGAAACCCCCGATGTGTTAGCGCAGTTAGATGGACTTCTATTATTCTTTCCATTTGCGTTATTTTCTTCTTCGTCAAAATAAATTTCCATCTTCCGATGAGTGCAACATTTAAAATTGAGGGGAAGGAAAAACAAAACAAAAGTAAGCTTTAAAGGGGAAACTTTTTTTTTTTTTTTTTTTTTTTTTTATGGTATATATATTGCTACATTCGTTTATGGTATCATATTTGTGTACATTCCTTTTTACCGCGCTTTTTGCTTATTTATTCTATTTAATTATTTTGTGCCACCTCCCCCTTATTATTTGCAACTTAATAAGCACAAATTTGCTCTTAAGCAGTTATTATACCTTACCCTTTTCTATAAATAATGAAAAAAAAGCTGACCTCACAGTTCCACGCGTCGGCTAAATACCACGCAAATTCTGTTGAAACGGCTTGCCCTGAAAAATGCTATTTCACTAACTTTTTTACACAAAAAAAAAAAAAAAAAAAAAAAAAAAAAAATCGTTTTAAAGGAAATCTCAAACAAAGGGGAACGCGTAAATATACGTAGAGACAAAAAATCAAAGAACGGACTATCTACCATCATCTTAACAAAATGAAAAATCCCTGAGCGAAAAAATTATATACACACCAAGTGTAGCAACACGGCTGAATTAATTGACCTATTCCTCGTACCTCCGCACATTCGAAAGAACAACAAATTGTCTGTGATACAAAATGTTACAAGACAAAAACTTTTGTTAACTATCTACACATCTTAAAATTAGGACCGGTACAGGCAAAACGTGTTGTACCGAGCCATAAACCGTTGAACAAAATAAAATTAAAAAAAAAAAAAAAAGGGCAACAAACGTAAAACGCATTTCACAGGTAAAACAAAAATGTGTTAATAATTTTAAAAGGGCTTGGAAATGAAATTCCTTTTCTGGATAATCCTCTAATAATTCCATTTACCCTAAAACGGAATCCTTTCCTCTCCCTTGAAGGTTAGCACAAACGCGTGAAAGAGTACAAGTGTGTCTTCACTAAATACACGTAAATCCGTAAGCACGTGTACATGCACACATATATGCGTTCCTGCCGAGAACCATACCTCCTTACGCACAACCGCTCTGCAGGTGGGCATTCGCCAGGGAATATATAATTGAGTAATAGTGATTCAAATCTTTTACGATGACTGTGGGGGAGCTATCTTCCCGTTGGGCTGTATTGAACTGCTCGTTCATTTGCAAGGACAGCTCCAATCTGTTCTTCTTAAAAAAATATAGCGGCTTTTTAAATTCGTAATTTTTCTTATACAAATTATAATTTCCTACTACGTATAAACCAAATCTTGCACGTGAAAAAGCAACAATAAGTCTTTTAATATTTTTCATATACCCAATACTTCTAGACCGAACAAGGGAAATAATTACATAGTCGTTTTGTTTTCCCTGGTATTTGTCCACCGTCGTGACTTTTTTGGGCATTCCGATTAATTTGTTGTATAAGCATTTTTTTTTTAAAATATCTGAAATCAATTCTTTCTGACCATTGTATGTGGTTAAAATGGTGATTACTTCATTGTCATATCCTAGCAGTCGCATATACATAAAAATAGCAACAGCCATTTCTGCTTCTAACAAATTTTGGTAAAAATAAGGCACCGGTGTGTACTCCTCCGACTCGACGTGTATAAACTGATACGTATATGTAAATCCCGGGTTGAAATTCTTCAAAAATTTGTCCCTATTAATGCATTCCAGGTTGGCTATTTGAATATTGTACTTGCTGTAAAAATATTTATATACGTTACAAATCTCATTTCGCATACGTCCCTGTTCATTCAAATAAATGGACGGCAATTCTAATCTTAAAAATCTTTTATACAAGGACTGTTCATAGTTTGCAAAATTTTTTATATATTTATTTTTTATAATGGGTGGTAGCTGGTTGGAATCCCCAACGAAAATTATTCTTTTTAATTTGCTCTTATAGTACCTATTCTCTTGCAGCAGGAGAGGTAAAAACGTATCATTCTCCGTAATTTGCGTGCACTCATCGATAATAATATTGTCAAAGTAAAATTGTAGTTTCGCTATTTTGCTTCTGTTTATGCTTGCATGTGTACACGTCATTGCGATGACCCTGGCCAGCTTCGCTATAATGTACACTCCTCTTTCCCGCTGGTTCTTTAACACCTCGAATGCTCTACAGTCATTCAGATGTTCGAAATTGGTTATCAACTTTGCTAAACAGTACTTGCTCACGTATAAATCGTCCTCGTCGTTTTTGAACGTCATGTCGGTTACATCTCCGTTGAAGATGCTGCGCGGGGTGGAGACATCCTCCGATTGGGCTAACAATTCATCGTTCGCCCCCCTCTCTTGTTCCTCCTTTACTTCCGTATTTTTTTCCATTTCTTCCATTTCCTCCCCACAGGGCCTCTTCTCCTTCTGTAGGAAACGATCCCTATACATCAAATACTCATCGATGCCTACTTTATGCAACTTCAAATTTAGGTACTTTTTAAACGGGAAAAGTACACTATATACGCTCAGCTGCAAACTACACAGTTGATCTTCTGGATGAATTAAATAAAAGCACTCTTTGTCTTCCTCCAGTATCTGTAGCTTCTCCACCTCCTTGGAAGTACACCGCGTTGTTTCCTTCTCCCCTCTCCAGATTAAATCCTCCACATTTTCACGTCCCTCCACGTACACCTTTGGGCACAAAAATAAGTTATACACGTCGTAATCATCAACCGATGCTGTGATGCACGATTTGAAAAAATCATCTTCATTTCCCTTTTTCCTATAAATATCAATAAACTTAAAAAAATTGGAAATACGTTTTTTCACATGATTCTCATAATATTGGGTAGCCGATAAACAGTGATATATCTTTTGGCTGCTACTCGATTCGGATAACAGATTTACTTCGTTCAAAAGCTTTTGTCTTAAGTCGATCATATAATTGATTCTTCCATATTTCGAAAAATTAAAATTATCGTCTTCATCAAAAAAATCGTTCCCTGATTTGTTCACCATGCTGCTCTCATACCCCCTATCAATACCATTTCTGGCTAAGTTCCTTTCCACTTCTTCATACTCGGCTCTTAAATTCTCAATATCCAATTCTCCCATACCTACTCTGCATAAATATTTTTGGTGAATTAAATTTTCCTTAACCAACAAATTAAAAATGTAGTTCAGGCAACTATTACTGTGCGTACATATGAGAATTTTTTCCTTCGTTTTGTTGTTAAACAGTATATTAATAATCTTGTTTAGTATGCTGGTTTTCCCGCTCCCTGGAACTCCCTCGATGATGGTTATTCCTTCATACAACCCGCTCTTTATACATTCGATTTGCCTTTCTGTGTAGTACATCCTACTTTTCGCATCACCTCCGCTTGCTCCTTCTACCACGTTCGTCTCGTCAGCCCCATTTTCGACGTCTGCCCTCTTCGCCACCACCACATTTGTGCTGTTCCTCTTTTTCGTGTGCACAAGCAACCCCTCTAACGGATAGTCCTGGTCGTCGTATATGCTGTTCGGTATTCTGTAAATGTCCTCTTTTAGGCTTAAATGTCCTATGGACCGTTTCATATTTTGGTCCAACAAAGTTTGCACTTTTTTTCGATCACCAATAGTGGAAACTTCTCCATCTGCATCGCCCTCGTCCTCACCAACTTTCGCATCTGCCTTCTTCCGACCCTTCTTCTGACCCTTCCTCTTGATGGGACGTTCAACCTGTATGCCCCCGTTTTTCTCTTTTCTCAGGTAGCTGTTCAAAATTAAGAAATACTCTTTCCCCTTAAATACAAATTGGAAGATACAATAATCCCCATACAGATGCGCAGCCCTAATGTTCTCCACAAATTTGGACACAAATTCCATCTCATCTGTAGCGTACCCATTAATCACACAAATGTGATAATACAAACTTTCAAGGATATTCCTCTGCAGCACACCCTTTTCAAGTGACTTTTTCTTGTTTTCATATTTGATCGGTACGTAACTCAAAAATAGGGGCTCTATATACTCATTCAGTAGATTCTTCACATCTACTTTATCTCCATCGCTCAACACATTCATGTACGACGAGTCGATGCACAGATACGCAACGTTCGTCGTTTCTATCACATGCAAGATGTTTACAAACGTGTTCAAGTAGTTAATATCGTCGATGTTGTTTTTTATAAAATTTAGCTTCTCTCGATTGCACGACAGAGAGCTCTTCAACAATTTCGCCGATCTCGGAGTCCTCGATTTCTTTTTACTGCCACTTCTTGCATCGTCTGATGGGTCTTCTTCCGATGCATCCTCTGCTGATTCCTCCTCTGATTCATCTTCTTCTCCCGATTCCTCCTCCGATTGGCCTTCTTCCCCCGATTCCTCCTCCGATTGGCCTTCTTCCCCCGATTCCTTCTCCGATTGACTATCCCCCTCCACGCTGACCCTGCTCGGCAGCGACTTCTGGTAGTACTTGAGCGAACCGTCGCAGTAGCCCAAAAATATATCGTGCACCCAAAATGGTATAACCGCATCATCTGGATTCATAATTAACGTTTTGATGTTGTTCAAAATGTAGAAGAAATTGTTTTCCTTCTGTTTCCTCCTCACTAATAAATTGAATGAGTTGTAAATTTCTGGATCGTTAAGAATATCCTTCTGGTACTGATGATAATCCAAGTATACAGTGATCCTCTTCAAGCTGCTTTTCTCCGCACCTCCCTCTTCACCATCTTCTACAAAATTAGCATACTTACACACTTCGCACCCTCTGACGTAGTTAATTCCAAGTAGCTTCTTCAAATCTCCATCATTAATGACGTTTATTTTATTCCTATAATGATTTGTGTAATTCTTTACACAAACGAGAAATAAAATATCGCAGGGTCTAATCATGTTCCATTCATTATTGACTCTTTCGTAATACTTGTACTTCAGGTCTATCACTATTTCTGCCGTTACTTTCTTATTGTTGTTATCTACACTTATAATTTTGAATGAGTCTATCTTATTGCTCATTCTCCTTTCATTTGCAAAATATGTGTTTTCAATATTGTTCACATCCTGCACTATGGAGTTCAGCTGGTACTCATTGAAAGTGTGGCTGTTGTTCTTATGGGATAAAAATTCATCCTGCGTATCTATTTGGTTCTCCCCTGATAACTCATTCCCATGTTTTCTCTTCCCCCGTTTCTTCTCTCCTTTGCTATTCATCTCATTATCGTCCCTGTTAGACTCACTCCTCTCATCAATTTCGAACACGTATCTACACACAGTATTCTCGTTCACCTTCTTATTTTTTGGATTCGTTTCGTACACGTACTCCAGGACGTTTTTCCTGATGTCGTAATAACTTTGCAATTTAAACAAATTGTATATTCTAAATACATAATCGTTAATGCATAGATATTGCAAATTCAATTTGAACAATGGCTTGGTGTAGAGAAAGGTTTTCCTTTTTTTTTTCATGTCGTCCTTTGTGTCTATCAGGACACTGTCGAATAGATCCTTCTCGTTCGGGTAATCACATTGCTTGTCTATCTCCTCAAAAATGTTGCTCTTAAAACTCAAATTTTCTATTAGCACTGTTATGTAGAACAGTTTTTGCTTTTTCCTAAACAAAGACACATTTTCGAACAGCCCCCCGCTCTCCCTGCTCCATTTGCTTCCCCGCAATGTGCTCTCCCCCTCTTCATCATTAGCCTCCTCACCTATGTCCTCAGAATTCTCCGCTGTCTCCCTGCCATGCACCAAGTACTTCAACTTCTCACACAACAACAGCAACTCCGACTCCTCGAGCTTGGAAAAATTCTCCAACAGCTCCCTCTTCTTGTTCATCAAAAAAACGGACTTCAAGTAGTAATTCTTTAGCACCGTGTGCTCCTTAAAATGATTGTAGCAAAAGCTTTGGAAGAACTCAAAGTTCTTGTAATGCTCGTTGCTTATTTCTAGGTATGTTAATGGTTTTCCCGAAAAATTATTTATATACATTTCGACGTAATATTTTAACAGCTTTATCAGTTCTTTAAATTTCCTTTTCCTATTAAGACTAGAAATTTTGCAATAAATTAACACATTAAAATACTTTATAAGAATGTACAGTATCCTTCTGGTGTAAAGCTGACTTAAAAGATCGATAAAAAATTCCACGCACTTCTCAACAAACAAAATGCCAAATTTCTTCTCCTCCCAGGATTGCTGCTGCCTGCGTCTTCTAACCTTACGTGTGTACCTATGTTTATTTGTCCCCTTTAGCTTCCCCTCATACTTCCAAAACATGCGTAGTATTTCTTCCTTTTTATATTCGCTTTGGTTGACATAACTCCTATCCCCTTCGTCCTCGCTGGAAATATACTTTGAGTACGCTTCGACCGACTCCAGGAACTGTACCACCTCGTCGTGGAGTGCGTCCTGACCTCTGCTAACGTGCGCAGCATTTATGGTGCCAGTTTCCTCACCACCACCTGCAATTCTCTTTATGCGTTTGGATGAATGCCCCTTTATAGTAACACCCTCTTCTTGATCGACAACCGAATCGTTGGTAAGACTCACTTCTTGATCGCTCGCGTCAGTATCCATATTGTCCTTCGTGTTGTCATCCGAGGGGACAACCTCTTCCGCGTCTCCTTCACCCACTAGTACAGAAGCATCCCCAAGCCTCTCACTACTTAAGGGAGACTTCCCCTCATTGGCAATATTACCGTCCTCATCATTAAACATTTCCAAATACTTTTCGCAGTCGTCTAGTTCCTCATTTTCACTGTCTGTGTCGCTCATCGAACAGATGGAAGAATCACTGGCTACCTCATCCAGTTCCTCGGACTCCTCCTCAAACATATCCAAAACGATCAAAAAGTAATTTATCAAGTTGTAACAAAATTCATTCTTGTTAACAAATAATATGATGCCCTCGTCATACTCTTCCTTCTTCACATCGTCCTGGTGGACTACACCACAACTGCACGTATACACACCCACCACATTGTAACTCCTCCCATTTAAATATTTTTTTTCCATAACCTTTAGCAGATTATTATACAATACTTTCGCTTCTTTGCTCTTCTGAAATAGAAATGCGTTTAAGTAACTGTAATTTACACAGCTCCAAATGAAGGGGTTGCACAGGTCAAGGCACAATTTGAAGAGAAATTTTTTGTCTATACTGGAATAAATATTTATAAAAAATTGTATAACAAAGGATTTCTCCAAAAAGTTTAATTTAAATACACCACTCTTGCATGTCTTTATAATATCTTCCGTCTCTGTGTCGCTCCCCTTTAGCTTCCCATTTTGCATGTACTCACTAAAAACAAAGTTATAGTTAATCAATTTGAGGGTATTAAAAAATAAACTGTGAAATTTTTGTACAAGGAATTCCTTATACATATTAAACCGCTCATCAATTTTGTAGTTTTCCTTTGGAGTGTAATTCTTCTTTTCCATTTCCACCAGCTTTTCAAATTCGTCTATTCTGTTGTAAATTATCTGATCCCAAATTTCATATTTCCCCTTCTCTTCATATTTATAGCAAATAAAAACGATCAGAGATAGTATGTGCTTTACGTACAACTTGTATGTACTTACTTCGGTACCATCCAAGCAAAAAAAAACCTGGTTGTTTTGTAAAAGATACAGCCTATCATATATGTTATAATGCGACCATAACACCTTTTCAAAGTATTGGGCATTTTCTAACCTTTTTAAATGCTTTGGGTTGAAGTTTTTCTTCTTCAAAATGTCGTATGTTTTGCCTATAAACTTTAACACCGTGGGATCGATTTGAACGTCTTCTTTCCCATCAACACCATCGTCGTCTTCGCTGTCATCCCTTCCATCATCCGCACCGCAGTGGTTATATCCGCCCGCGTCAGTGGCATCCTCATTGTTTTCTTTCTTCTTTTTGCAAAAAAGGCAGAAATCTATGTGTTCAATTACGAACCTGAACTTTTGCGAGCCTTTTACTGCCGGAGCGACATCCACATCCAGTTCTCCATTCTTCGCCCCCGCCGCCGACTTTACGTTTGCTAACTTATTCACACTCATATCCTTGTTACCATTTTTGCAATTACCCCTTTGCTTCTCACAAATGTTGTATACTTCGTTACCGCTTGTTTGTAAATATATGGCTTCTACTCTGCCTTATACTTCTGCGAACCGTTTGCTATATAAAACCGAAAGAAAATTTTTCTTCTTTTCCTCAACGGGATTGTCATGCTATTTTGTAGTCACCTCCTTGGACTCTTTTGTTTGTTTTTATTTTACTGTTATTTTTCCTCCGAACTACGCTCCCCCAGGTGTTTCCCTTTTCGTTCTTTTTTTTTTTTTTTTTTTTGGTGGAATTCCAAGGGAATTTGCCTACTTCATTTCGTGCTAACTGCTCGTATGGTGTTTTAAAAAAAGGCAACAAATATAATTTACGCACTCGGACGTCGAAATTAGGTTCTAAAACGTGAAGCTGGATTTCGCGTGTGAAGCGTGGATTGTCAAAAATATGAATATGTACATCTGTATCCATTTTTTTTTTTTTTTTCCTCTTAATTTAATCAATGTTCCATTTGCGTTTTTCTTTTTCGTGCGCATAATAACACGTGAACACAAAATCTCACCACAACTGTATCGCTCACTCTGGTGTAGCCCTAAACGTAATGAAAAATGAGCATAGCTTTATAAAACAATATTGTAAATCCGTCCATGTGTTTATACAGGAAATCTAAAAATAACTAACAATATAGCGCTATGCCTCGTGACACCACTAATATTATATAGGAGTGTCAACATATGGATATAATAATGTATCCATTCCAGTACTTTATTTCATCCTGTTTCGGTCTTAGATAAAAGGAAAAACTGGCCAAGGAAAAATAAAAATGAAACACTTCGACGGATGGGGAATAAATACAGAAAGGCACATTCTAAATTTTTAAAGAAGCACCATGTGTAATCATTTAAATTTTTTTTTTGTTCTTCCTCAAAAAATATGTATCACTTTACACAATGCCTTAAAGAGTGAAACACATGAGCCTCCTGCATTGTGCAAAAAAGGATGTTGTCATTATTCTAATTTGCCCACCCCCAAAAACAAAAATTTCCAACTTTGTACTAAATCAGTGGAGTTCAATTCTTAGCACAAAACGTTAACATGAACATAACGTAAGACAATGTACCTATTTCGTTCCTTTGGTTTGTCCATTCAGTTTTCTGTTCTAAGCCGTTCTAATGATACCCTATCGTTATTCTCTGTCTGGAGGCTCCGCCATGCATGCCTGCCAAAGCCACAAGTCTAACATTTGAGAAATTATTTCTATTTCTTCTTTCTTTTTGATGGGAGAAGGGTTGATAAAAAGTGTATGCATAAATGTACCCCTATTATTCACAAAAAAATACTATTTTTTATATTTACCAAATGTAGATAAAAAAATATGTCTCATGTTTTTCTTATTCTTGTTCGTATTATTTGCCCTTTCATAATTACATTTTACTGTTTCGAAATCACTCCGCAAAAATAATGTATGTCATTGTAACACAAAAAAAAAAAAAAAAAAAAAAAAAAAAAAATTGCATTCAAATAGCACACTCCGCACGAGGTTCTCCCTCACCCGGTTAAAAAAACGGGAATTCAAATTTGCTCTAAGAATGTTTTAACTGTACCTTCTGACAAAACACCTTTTTGTAAAGACAACGCGAAGACGTTTGCGTTTTTCTCAATTTTGAGACCTTTCCTCAATTCACGAAAATTCGAAAGCGTAAATTATTGTCCCTGCATACTACATTTTTTTTTTTTTTTTGGGGGCAACATACGCAAAAATGTATGCATAAAAGATATACATATCTGCATGAATGTTTATCTACAGCTCCTTTATCAAATGAAACTGAGCTTTAAAGACATGCTTTTTCGCTTCTTCCCTTTTATGTCATACGTTTAAGAGAGGGCAGAATGCGCCAACGTACTTGATACCCTTGTGAATACGAGAAACACGTAGCTGCACAGGCATGTATAAGCATATATATATACACTCATTTACTTGTCTACTTATTTATTCATGTAATTATTCCTTTATTCATTTACTGATATGCACGCCCCCCTCCCCCCCGCACACTCGCAGCTGTGTTGACGGAACGAGCGAATAAAAGGCCCACACAATTAGCCCACAACTGTGCAGGCACAAAATGAAAATCAAACACCTCCTGCTCAAAAAGAGAAATAATCTCTCAACATCCTTCTGCCTGGAGTCAGAAACGAATGTACTAAAAGACCACATTCCGATACACACATTGAAAGAAAATCACAAAACTAAAGTGCTCTACAGTTATAACCTCGTGGATGGTTACAAATACAAAATAATTGTTAAAAGGAAAAAGCATAAATTAAAAAATAACAAACTTATTATTTCTTCACTGGATCATCCATATATTATTAAGTTGATTCACTGTTGTGAATATGCCTCTTCGTTCATCAGCGTCTTTGAGTTTTTCTCAGGTATATCTCTCACAAATGAGTAGCCTAACCATTGAAGGAAGAAAGCCCTTTTTCGTTTGTTGTTTTTTCTACCCCATTGCCTTTTGCAACAATGAGTTAAACCTTTTTCGATTCTTTTTTCCTCCCCTTGCAACCCCATACATATACACTGTGCAGACACAAGTTTATACTCCTCCGTAATCTTCTCCGCAAAATATGATGAAAAGACGATAAAGAACATAGTATATCAGGTTATTCTAAGCATTTGACATAATCTATTAAACTGCATAGGAAACGAACATACGATTATAAAAAAAAGCAGTCATGCTCTCAATATTTCCTATACCTCACGTCACAGTGTTAGTAGTATACCAGGCTTGCTACACCTATAGTATGTACACACCTTCCACCTCTTCTCTCATCCCTGTTTACAACTCACGTGCAGATCATACGAACGGTCCATTACCTCCACTCAAACAACTTAGCACACAAGTAATTAGCACATGATGCTCGTAAAAAGGAGAAGAGCTGCAACGGAAATGTGCTTCTGTGAGCATACCTACATATGCATTATACACCCTGCGCAGCTATCCTAATAGAGGCTCTCTTTCATCCCCAACGAGCAGGCAACTACTTCCCCAGAGTTTCCTCATCAAATCCGTGAATAACGAAATCATGATCAAATTGGAAGACGTCCATAAAATTAAGGCCTATTCTTCGAGATGTTAAAAAATTTTTAAAAGTTGAAGAAAAAAATATGATACAATTGTAGTTCTCACTGTCTCCTCACAGCATTTTTTATTTATTTTTTTTTTTTTTTTTTTCCCCCAACACGCAGCCAATTCAAAAATTAGGGGCCAAAATGTCTACAGCATTGGACTGATAAGTAATAACACAAAAAGGGAACGAATTGTGCAGGAATGAATTACCAAAAAAAGGCATTAAAATAAATCGTCAAAATAATAATATATATAGTTAATCTCTTATCATAACGAGAAAATTTTTCTTTTTTTTTTCTTTGGTGCATCACCATTTCGCGCTAACAAACAACTATCAGAAGAGCTCAAAAGTGCACAACGAATGCATTCCCCACAAATAGTGGTGCACCCTTTTAAGGACCTACAACTAATTTGTCCAATTTTTTCCCCCACCCCCCACACACCCTTTACGTGTAGCGTATTTCCTGTTGTGCGGCCAATACCCAATATTCCACTTTGAGAATAAAGAAAAAAAACTTATTTTTCCAAAAGACATGTTAGTTTTTTTTTTTTTTTTACACCAAAATATAATACACATCCATAGGGGAAGACACATCAAATATGAACACCATTCATCGCGTTGACAATTTCGACATCACTTTCTGCCCGAGTAACTTGTTCTGATATCTTTTTTTTTTTTTTAGGTGCGACAATATTTCATTAAAGGGGAGAAGTTTTGTGCAAAAAATACTGCTCAGCGATATCAGGTTATTTTGAAAAGGTCCCACAAGGATATTCCTACGTGCGGGGACAAAAAAAAAAAAAAAAATTAACCAATTTACCTAGTTAAGCCAAATGACATATTACAACATGCGCTCTGTTCAAATCGCCTCTCTCAACAGCTCCATGATAACCGCACGGGACGCGCTAGATCACGTAACACAAAGAAACAAATATGTTTCCACATTTTTTTGCGTCTGACCCCAAAATGCAAGCAAAAGGACAGCACTGATGGAACCATTATTTTTCACTTCACCTGCCCAAGGAATGGTTTAAGGAGAACGTCAAGCAAAACATTTACATCAATTTCGACATGCTGAGGAGGTAGGAATTGCTCCCCCCCCGTTCTGATCACTCCATATGTATATACATAAACACATAGATACATATTTTATATATGTATGTGTCCTCATTCACCATCCCGGTTACCCACCCTCCTCTCCAAACCGTCCATTAGCATTTACGACTTTTGGAAAAAAAACGCCTTTAAAAGATACATCCTGAATAACATATCCAAGTTTGTAGTGAAGGAAGATATATATAGTAAGCGGAAGAAGTCCTCATGGTTATCCGTGCATGCATACATCGCCCCACGCCCTTTGTTTTGCTCTCGTCCAAGTTATACACCATTCCACCAAAACGCAGATCTTCAACTCGTCACCTTCCTTATACAGGATATAACTCCCTATTTTTCTACTTTGATATAATGGAGGACGGGTCAATAAAATATATGCAATATTTCGCAATAATGAAGAAGTTGGGCCTCATAGACGCCAACGTAATATTCTCCTTTGATGATGTTCTTCGCATAATTTATATTCAAAAGTAGAGTTTTTATTGTTGAATGACATTTGCAATTTTACTTTTCTTATCAGATACAAGCATCGTTTAATGGACTGGACATTTCCAGAAGTGGACAAGTGCAATTCAGCAGTAATAAATGTGCAATTTTTTTTTTTTTTAAATATAAAAATTTCGCAATTTAGCACTTTCGCTAGATCACCCCTAAATGTACATCCTCCCTCTCAGACATAATTGCTTGCCTTTTAAATGGGTTTATAAAGATTGATAAACGAATGGTGTTAAAATTTTTTAAAAAAGTCGACTAC